AATTATCTTATTTAAATACCTCCATACACATGTGCCTTATATGTAATATTCCATAGAAACAGAGCTTGGGCTACCTGTGTTCAAACTTTAAAAATGGACTTTTCAATAATTAAAGCATAAAATTCTAAAATATAAATGCGGTAGACATTGATGACCATTGAAAAAAAGGTTTCATTGGATGGCACAGCGTTAATAGTTTCATTAATTTATCAAAGACTCAAAATGTGGTTCTCCACAAACTTAGTACGCATGCGCGTAGTGTTTATCTATCCGATATGACGTCACGAATTCTTATCATGAAAATATGACGTTATTATCGCCTTATCGAAAGATACCTCCCACAGAAAAGTCTGAGCTAAACCAAAGTCATGGTTGGAAACAAGTTGATTAGATTTTGGGAACTTTTATTTTGAAGTAATCTTATTAGTTTTTTTGGCAAGGCCCGACCAAAGACACAATTTAATGCATAAATAACTTTTTTTTAAATAGCCGAGTCTCATAAACCATATTCCTTAATTTGTTTTTCTAGCTTTTAAACTATACTTTACACTTTAAGTAGCTACATTATTTCATTTTACGCACGAATTGTGTCTGGTCATTTACGCGATGCATTTTTCACCCACGTCAAAAAAACTCAGTACTCTCAATAACTACATACCTTCATCCAATGAATTATTGTTTATATTTTGTTAAAGTGCTAAACTTTTTGGTTTCTTCACCTCCAACGGAATGATAACAATGGTATTCTCAAAACCGCCATGAAAACRACAATTGCACGACTACTTATGTACTTGTCCCGTAATACATGTATTAACGTCGGATGAAGGAGCTACGCTCTGAAAGCATTTGATTTTTAGTGGACTTTTAGGTTTTTTCACTGGCTTATAAAGAGAAAAATAAGAAAATATTTCTACAGCATGATACTATGCATACTCTTCTTCTTCTTTTGCAACCTAACGAATGTCTTGATATTTAGATGAAGCATATAAAGAATTCTCGGTTGATTTTGCTGAGAAAATCGTCACCATAACTTCACCAAATGCATGAGGTGATTTACTTGATCGTCGCTGTATCTGAARGAACGCTTCCTAGGTAAGTTTAACTTTTACTGATTCAGTTGCTGTTAGAAATGCCATGATTCAAGCAAATTCGTTTATACCAAATCCACATGGGCGTATGCCGTTTTCCATTTCAGACCATGTGTCATTCCCTTGAGTATCATTTCTTTCTTTAATAGTCAAGAGAATGACATGTGGTCTGAAATATTTTGGTCGTTATAGTAAAAAAATAAGAAWTTTTTTTATAGAACTGCTTTTCGTACGCATTCTGGACCCGCTGGAAGCCGTTTTTCCATTTTTTTTCTTTTCTTTTTAATTAATTAATTAATTTTTTTGATGTCACACTTTCAAAAAGTCGTTATAATGGGCTCCAATTTTGCAACGATACAAGACAATGTTGCAGCGTACGCCGTTGTAAATATGTTACATTATTATATTTCGATACTCCGACGAAGGACTAGCGTCCCAAACGTCAGTAAGTTTTTTCATCTTTTCACGGTGTATAATTTACCCTTTTATCATTACCATTTCGATAAAACATTTCAGTCAGAAAAATGTTTTTCATTTAAGACCCCACACTAAACGTTTAATGATATTGTACTCCATGAGATAAAAGTTTTAGCTCAGTTGTACTTCATCAATATTGATGTGCCTTACTGAAGTGCCACTGATAAACAAAGAAATGATATCAAAAGGACTGAAATGTATTTCGCGTGCTCCTCTCCTCTCCTCTCCTCTCAAATAGCCCCTTTTTTCTGAGTTCATACGCAATTAAAAGGTCGTGCCTTTCTTGGTAATTCGCTTATATGTTGGGTAAATTAAAATTAAGTATTTTCTATGCTTTTTCTATCAAAAATTTAGATTAAGGGACCACAATTTCACCTAAACCTTACACTATTTTCATTCATACTTTTTTTTTTTTTTGTTTKTTTTTTGAAAGAGAGTTTCAATACAATTCTAAGCTGCATTTGTAAGCACTGTTTCGGTTTATTTTTTGTGATCACTTTTCATGGAAAGTTTGAGCATCGGCAATTGACACTTGGAAACTTGCTAGGATTCGACGCCAAGAAACGTCTGAATTAAGCAAACACGAATTATATAGATTTTTTAAATGAAAATGTCTGTTTTCTTATATAGATCTAGGCGTTTAAATGAACTTTCATTCTACTAGTATTGGGTAAGAAAACAAAAGACTAGTGCTGTCCACTGGGATAACTGTCTTCACAGGCGGCTCAGCCAATTACGACATCAAGTTCCTAATGAAATGCCTTCGGCGGTGAATAAAAGTATTTTAGTGAAGCCAGAACATTCAAGAAAGAAACCCTCTYCATTTGGCTTTCATTCTTTTTCTTTTTAAGTTGGTTCAACGAGAACTTTCATAAGTAACACTCAAAGGGGCGAAACAATGGATGGTTTTCGCACTTGTTCTTTGAACTTTCAGATGCAACTAATTTGAATACTCTGTGACTTCAAAATGTATGCTTCACTCGCTAATGCACAAGAATTTCAAGGTACGAGTTTCATGATTTAAAAAAATATGAATTTAACTGTTCTGTAGTTTGTCAACTGTCAGTATYATCGTTTTTTCCCCTTTTTTTCTTTGTGAAATTCTCGAAAATCCTCATATATCAAACGAAGGTCGGTAACGAGAACCGTTATTTAAAGAAACATGAATTTAACTGTTTTGTAGTTTGTCAACTGTCAGTATCATCGTTCTTTTTCCTTTTTTTCTTTGTGAAATTCTCGAGAATCCTCATATATCAAACGAAGGTCGGTAACGAGAACCGTTATGCGATGTTTGCAAGGTGTTAATCAATAGTATAAATATTTTAAACCAAACTAAGAATACTATACAAACATCTTTATCACCTTTCAAATAATAATGAATTCTAGTATTACGATTTATTACCGACTTCAATGAAAGACATTAACTACGAGTTTTGACAAAACTTGAATCGTGCAACAAAAACAAAAAAACWCACTGAAGAAAAAATTTCGGGTCGTATTAGTAAATTTGACATCTTAATTGCTTCATACGATTCTTAAGCAGCAACTTAACATTTTTTCGACAACTTTATATGGTAATTTTGTTGTTCGTGTATCTGTTTCTGTCTTTCTTTATACGAGTGTTAAAGCTGCTAAAGGAAATTTTCTGGCGAATAAATTTGACAACTACGGGAAAATTCGCCAACTTATATGTTGCATGTTACTGATTTCAATATGAATGATGTTTTACATGTACGGAACATGGTTTCTACATCAGTATTCCGATGAATGTAATCTTAAAAGACAAGCTTTACAAATGTTCTGGATTAGATATTTCAGTTACAATTCAAAAATAAAGCAGTA